AAGCAGATATCCAGGCTGTATGTCCATAGGATAGGCAGGGTCTGGTAAATGTCTTGTATGTGTATAGCAGAAAAGGAGGGTTCAGGCTACAGAAGGTACCGGTGAGAGAACGGAGGAGATGAAAACGTCGAATAACCTTAGCAGAAAGGGCAGATAGGTATGGCTTCCAGTTTTATTGTATTTTTCTAACCCATTTTAGCTGTTTTTAAATCTTAACAATGAATGGCTGAAAGAAATTTTCTAAGCTGGTAAAGCATGCTTATAATAAATTATACGTGTTACAAGACATTAGCATTAGTCCTAATATATTTTAACATAATATTCCTTATTCAGTCCCTTAGAGATTTTTCAAGAAGAGTGTATACTATGTATTTCAGCCAAACTATGCTGGCCATATACATTGCCAATGACGCGTTTCCCTCAATATAGAGTTCATCAGGTCGGGTGGGATACTGTGCTTGTGTTTTCTTATAGCAAAGCCATATCGGGCTATCTGCTATGTCTACCGAGGGGAATCGAACCCCTGATTTTATCGTTGTAAATCCGAAGACTTACCGCTGTCCCACTGGAGGGTGTGTGTGATATAACAAACACAATATTGTAAGAAAATATAATATAAAAGTACTGTTCTCTACGATTTTTCTTTACTTGCGAGCTTTCAGTATACTGCTCTCCAATGTAGGCTCGGTAAGCGGGCCGAAAACTCCTAATTCAAATAAAAATATATAACATAGAGAAAATTTCGTGCATATATCTTAATATTAATTTATCTACGTTATGAATTTAAAAAAAAATAGTTGTCGGAGCGCTATTTATATAAGCTATTAGTTACAATAACAACTGTTATGGTATGAACATCTTTTGCTGGCAAAGAGTGATTATTTTTTATGATAAGTCCCCTGATGGGTCAGCGGTAAGTTTACGGACTTAAAACGCTAAATTCCGGGGTTCTATTCCCTGCAGCGGACAGAGCGCTTGTAGCCCTATTAAATAGTTGCCAATAATGCTTTGGTTGAAACGCTATTTGCATCACTCACTCTTGAGACAAGTATGAAGGTGTAGAATACCAAATGTGGCGGATTAGTTATAAATATAGCAGAACACGGTTCTTCTTTATACTATAAGTAAACTAAAAACTCGAACACAACGTTAAAGAAAAGAGAAAAATGATTTATTAAAACGCACCAAGTGTTTATTTAATAGTAATTTGTGTGTGTGACACCAAAACAGCTAATAATTGAAATCGCTTTGGACTATTATTCAATTTTTGACACTGCTCATAGCAATAACTTACAAAATAAAAACCCAATATTTCTCACTCCCTCATTTTAAAATTTTTGTTTTTTAAACTGGTTGAGATATATAATTTTATAGGTTTTAACTAGGTTTTTTGTTTATAATGCCAAGCTTTAGACTATTTGATTCACGTGCAAGGGAAGATTACCACGCACCTTCGAACGATTTGAAGTGAAATTGTTGAAGTATACAATGCGTAGTTCAACTGAAGGCTGCAAGCTACTTTTAGTGTAATACTAACTGTGGTAGATCCAACGTTAATTAATGCTATGCTAGCAGTTTACATTAGACCAAATATAAATGGGAACTTAATATTGTTTGTAATTATAATTTCACAGAGACTTTCTAATTGAATAGAAACATACGTTTACTAAAATTATTTAACGTAATTGAATTATGTTGTCTGTTTCTTATACCCACAGTTGTGAAATAGTGATAATAAGCCAATTACCTATTGATTGAGCCTAACTTAATATTACCCTAATATATTTTGTTAGTAGATAATCAAGAAATAAGAAGATTAGGTAATGCATACTTTCAAATTCAAGGGCAAGAATATTCTTGTATGGTTAGCAATAACAGTTAGGCTTGTCACTGCCACATTAAAATATTTTGGGATTGAAATTTATATATGTAATTTGCTGCCGGTTCGTTATGGTATAAGATAGCCAGAATACAAGCTAAACATTTAATAAAAATAGAATCAAGAATACGGTAGGCCTAGGCCTAAATTGATATTAAATTTTAGTTAATTTAAGCCTAACACTTTAGACTGATAAACAATAAAAAATCTGATTTAGCCATTAACATTATAGACTAAGCCTACATTGCTTTCCAATTCAGGCTTAAGGCTTTATTGTTAGATCATAACGAACTGTATAAACAAATACCATTCACAACTGTTCACGAAAAGCAGTTAGTACCATAAACTTGTAAAATTTTCAGACGCAGGCAACACACATTAGTCATAGGTCTAATACTCGACAATTATTTGGACTTAAGCCTAAATTGTTCTTGCAAGTTATGAGTATAAACATTTAGGCCTAACGTGTGACACACCGTTCTAAGATTTTTTTTTAATATGACAGGGCTTAATTTTCACTTCTAAAGAAAAGCGTTTAAAATTGCAAGTACAATATAAGCAAAATTTACTGTTGAATTAATAAATGATAATGAAATGTATTAAACTAACACCATAAACTAATGTTTAAAAAAATCTGAATTTTACTTTTAGTCAGGGGGTGAAATTCTAAAAAAACGTAAAGGAAATCAAATGGGTGAAGTGGCCCTGTTTTTGGAAAAGAAAAAAAATCTACGTGTAAACATAAAAAACAGCAACAAAAAAAGACAACTTGAATGTCAATGAATAAATGCTTTCTGGCGGAACAATGGAACGCACGCGCATCCGAAAAACTCAAAAAGTCCCAGTACTAGTATCACCTTAAAAAATAGGTTCCGGTACCCAGTACCGGCATTATTTAACTTCTGCTTTTAATAATTATCATCAAGTTGGGTAACATGTATTTGTAGTGTTTGTTTTCTTCTTCAGTTCATCATTATTGTAATTTGAAATAATCGCGCCATAGTTCATACTAATACTGATAATAAATTAGTAAAGTAAAATTAAGGCGTTAGAACTGTTTTAATTATTACATACCAAACTAACTACTACAAGATCGTTTACAAATGAGGTTATATAAAATACAAACATATCAAAGCTTATAAATAAAACAGTAACAATGTTGCATTTGTTAAATGATTGTGTTAAGAATTTAAATAAATACATAATATATTGTTGAAAACTTAAAATTTGGTCTAGATTAAGCGTAATAAAATGTAAATTTAAGTTGTAAAAATAATAACTAAAAATTAACGTTAGTTCCAAGTAAAAATATCAAAATGTATTTAAGATAGACATTTTTAAGATGTGATGTAAAAACAAGGTTACATTCTTGAAAACGTTAATTATTAGAATTTATTAAATAAATTTCAATTTGACTTTTGAATAATAGGTGTCTGGAAGAAGATAACATTTGCGATGAAAGCATTTCTGCTCATACTTTTGATCATCTCCAAATTACACGCAATTACTGGTGAGTTTTCTTTAATATTTTTTTTGTTTTGAAACTATCCTCATTTTCGTAAGAGTGTTGTTGCATTTGGCTTTACCATCTGAATCTTGTTCTTAAACTGTATCAGTGGTATATAAAAATTAAATAATTTATTGTGATCGACAAGAAATGCTAATGAGGAACACTGATAAAAAACACACACGGAGTAATCAACAACTGTATGCTTTGTAAAGACTACTGTGATTTACAATCGACAGATTTTTTAAAGTTCAAATTTGCATTTTATAAATTTTAACGCAATTTCCTTTCATTTTGTGCCATCACCCTTACGGAGGTTGACTGCAATGGGTCTCCAACACTGTCTGCCTTGAGTCCTACTTGTACACTCGGAAGTTCTAAGGTCCATCCACTGCTTGGTATTATCGTCACAATCAATTCTTTGTCGTCCTTTTGCCCTCTTTCCTTCCACTTTTCCTTCTACCATACATTTCTGTATCTTGTTGTACCTTTTTATTTGTCCAAAGTATACTGTTTTCCTTTGCTTTATGGTGCACAGGAGTACTCTTTTTATATTTATTTTTCTTAAAATCTTTTCATTTGTTTTTCTGTCTGTCCGTGATATTCTTTCAAGTCTTCTGAATATCCACATTTCAAACGCTTCCAGCATCTCTCTATACTTTTATTGATTGTCAAAGTCTTTGTACTATACAACAGTGTTTGCCATGTTTAACATTTGATGATTCTCATTTTTAGTTGGATATTTATTTTTCGTGATGTCAGAATTTGTTTAATATTGTTAAACGCAATTTTTTTTTGCAATAGCTATTCTTATTTCTTCTACACATGTGTCATCTTCTGTGATTAATTGTCTAAGGTAAGAAAAGCTTTTAACTTCTTCTAGTTCTTCATCGGTTATTATTATTTTAGTTTTGGGCTTTTGTTTCTTTTTGCTGATAGCCATTGTTTCTAATATTCAATCCATGTTCCTCACTCTTTCTTTAATTTTATCGACAATTTGTTGCATCCTTTTCTGATTTTCGGCCACTAGCGCTGTATAATATGTATATCTTAGGTAATTTACGTTCATATCACCTATGGTTAGTTCTTCAATTACTTCTATGTCTCTAAAGATAATTTCTGTATACTTGTCAAAGAGATAAGAGGAGATCACTCATCCTTGTATCACACTTCTTATTATTCCAATGAATTGCAATAACTCATTGTCGTATCATATTTCTGCCATTCGTTCCCAGTACAAGTTGGTAATAAGTCTAATGTCCTTGCTGTCCAAATGGCTTCAGCGCATTCTATCAGTATAGCGCAATATCATGTTATGTAAAAATGATTAGACACTACAATAGGCACGGGCTCCAACAGATTCCAAAGTTTTTTTTTCATTATGACACATTTTGTATATGCACTATAAATTGCAGAAGTTTTAAAATACTATAGGGGTTTTAAATTATGACATGTTTTATCTAGAAATACGTCAGGCACAAGTTTTAACTGACTCTAGAAGTGTTTTTTTTTTTTTCATTTTCATTAGGAGACGTATTTTCCTTTACATGCTATTATTTTTAGATAACTTGCTTGGTTTTTTAATATGTTTATCATTTTCTTAATTACTAGGCTCAGTGTCTAATGACTTCATGTGGAGTAGAGACCAAGGGGTTAAGAAAACACAAAAAATGGTGACTTTGAGAGATTTGCAAATAAGATCTGTCAGTGCCATTAGATGTCCCTTTTCTTCCCTTCCCAGCGAACTGTTTATATCATCCAACTGCATTGAACATCCAGATGTTATTTGTGACATAGAATGCCCTGAAGGGGGAGTCTTAGAAGGTCCTGAAGTCATTATCTGTCTGCCTTCTGGACAGTGGTCAGCTATACCAAGATGTGGTCAGTACCCAGTCTATATTATTCATTAATTTCTTGTGTCCATCAATAAAACATCATAACATTAGACCATAAATAATACTGCATATTTAGCTCTGAGGAGGGTTCTTACATAAAGAAATCAAAGCATTGAATTAAGTACTAGTTAACACTATTCCAGCAAGTCTTGGGCCAGGCCTAAAGACGTGCATGGTCGGTCTAAGAGAAAGATTAACACATTTCAAGTTTGTGTATATCTTCTTTGTCTAGTACTTGTAACTAAATACAAATATCTATAATGATTTTTTTTAACTGAAGTTGTGTGAATAGGAATATATTCACTTATTATGTCACAGGGTGATTTAGTTTATGATAAAATTTTGACCAAAAAATATATAAGAAATCCGTATGATATTGAGAACTGTTTTTTGTTGTTTTTTTTTTACAAAATCCTTATATTAATAAAGCAACTGACAAACTAAATATTCTGCTCTGCTACAAATGATACTAGAGATGGGGTAAAACGGAAATAGAATGAAATGATGGGATATATAGATTGCACTAATATAAAAAAAGAAATCTGCGGAGTTACAACACTAGAAATCGGGTTTCAATACCCGTATTGGGCAGAGCACAGATAGCCCATTGTGTAGCTTTGTGCTTAACTTCAAACAAACGAAAAATAAAATAGATATATGAAACTATTTTTGAAAACTAACAATGAGAGGAGTCTGTTGAAATTTAAAATTACAAAGAAAAATCTGACGTTATTTATAGGCTAAATAAAAAAAAAAAATATCGAGAATTTTAAGGACAATCATATAACGATAATTCTCCAGTGAATCAGCGATAAGTTTACGGAATTACAACGCTAAAATCCACGGCTCGATTCTCCATAGTAAACAGAGCGCAGATAGCCCATTGTATAACTCCGTGCTAAAACAAACAAACGAATTGCGAGAAAAATGGAAAATTAAGAATATTTTTGGAAGAGTGTTAAAGTGTGTAAACAGTAATAAAGAGAAAAGACTACCACCTGCGTGATTTTATTTCAGCCCTAATATTAAAAAATAAAATTAATGTTGAATTTTGTAACGATGAAAAATTAACTTTGACTTGATGTATAGAAGTAAAACACTGTTGATATACCTCAACTCTTGTAAATATCAAAGTGCAGATTGATTTTTGTATTCATTGTTGAAATGTTGAAACCTGTAAATTTAGCCACTACTGGAGTAATGTTTAATTATATATTGAAGTTTGGATATATTTGTTTTACGTTGTTCGAGTGATGCTATGGACTGATAACATGGAGGTAATGCTAATATGGTTAATAATTATTGTGGTATTTCTTTGCTTAAAACAATAGGTAAACCGTGTACTGATAGTATAAATAACAGAGTGAAAGACTAGGCAGAAAGAAAATGATATAGTGAAATAGTAGGAGTTTTTTGTTTTTTTTTTGCAGAGTTTGCTGCAGAAAGGACTATATGTATGAAAAAGATAAATTATTTGTATATTATATAGATTTTAATCAAGCATTTGACTGTAGTTCTCATGAAACAATAACCTATGATAGTATATATATATATTATAAAGTATGGGAATGCTACAAATTATGAAATCTTATACAAAAACCACATGAAGGACTAACTCATTTGTTAACAGCAATATTGGTGGTATATAATATCATTCTGGTTTAGGAACGAAGTGATTAACAGAATTGATGTATACTGATGATGTAGTTTTATTAGGAGATTCCGTGATAAATGTAAAAATGCTAACTTTGTCTGACGTGATTATGGACAAATCAATAGTTAGATGAGAAGGAGTGAAAAATGGTATTTTAATAAAGAGCAAAGACTAGCTTTTGGATACAAGTATTTAGGTGTATATTCATCAGAAACCTTGTGCTATAAAACTACTAAAGTTACCTCAATATAAGATGAACACTTTTTGTTTATTTTAGTACAGCAGATTATAAATGATTGAGCTTACTGCTTGATTAATCAATGGTACAAATATCTGTCTATGAAATTTATCTATATAAGTGTTAGTGAAACAGTTGCTAATTCATTTATATTTCGAGGCTACCTGAAAGTAAAGTGGTAAATTAAGTGTGTAAAATATTAGTTAAAAGTGTCAAAGCATGTTGTTTATTACAAGATATAAATCAGAACAACAAATAGATTAATCTGGTTTCAAAAATTACAAATATGTTTTTCAAATGTGCTTTGTGTGAGAAATTCAAGATGCTGAAACAACAAGACTCGTTGAGCTTATATACACCTTTCATCGTTAACACCACTTTGAGTGTCATTTATACCTGGTATAGGGGATATGATTTCTACAGTGATCACCTCGTGTGTGAGGTACTGGAAGATAAAGTGGCATAAAACAGTCATATTCAAATACGAATGTGAAGCCCAAACTGTTATCCAATTTACAACTTGTCACTGAGTTATACCAGTTTCAGCGAATTCCATCTCTCGTCAGTAATCTTGGACAAGTTCAAATCGAAAGATTTTTTTTTTTACTACATTTTATTCCAGCCCAAATCGACAGAATAAGACTAGGCTTCATATAATGTTGAAGTGTATATTATATGCATGGTGTTTTGAGATGTAATTTTACTCACACAGCAATCCTATATTTATATTGGAATTTCGAGAATAGACAGCATTGATGTTATTATTTTCCTCTTATGAATTATTCAGCCGATAAACTAAAAATAAATGTTATTCGAATTATATTTAGTCACTGAGTTACAGTGTGGCTCAGTGGCTTTGCGCTTTGGATTTGTATTCGGATGGTTGTGAGTTCGAGGCTGGTTCGCGTTATGTTGTTGTGTCCTTAAGCAAGACGCTTTATCCACCAGTCTACCCAACTGTATAATGGGTATCCGCTGTTAGCTGGTGGTTAACCTATGATGGACTGGCATCCTGTCCAGGGGGGATGCGTCACCATTCTCACTCGCTTGTACCAACTAAGTTGGAGTTCAGAACTGGATCCTATGTTCTATCTCGGCATGGGAAGGATTTAAGTTAATTTAACTGAGTTACATATCATATGTATAATTTGCACTCCGCCACTATATGATGTATTAACATAAAGCCTTGTCTTTATTCTTTCGATTTGACCTTTTCAGGGTCACCGATAAAGATTGTTTGTTTGTAGTTATGCACAGAGTTCCACAATGAGCTATCTGTGCTCTGCCCACCACGGGTATCGAAACACGGTTTCTAGCGTTGTAACTCCACAGACATATCAATGTGCCGC